CTCCACAACCAGCTAGATATGAAGCATGTTTCAGTATAACCTTCCTTCCAAAATGACTGAAACATTAGACTCTGTTGGGATTTTCTCACTGTAAAATTCTCACTGAATTCTTACATACTGCAACTTTAAATGTTAAAATGTTGTGCTTTTGATTCAGTGCTGAACATCTGAGCAATACAAGGTGTTACTGAATTCCTTGGATATTTTACAAAGATGAATGTGATTAACTAACAACCCAATATACAAGAGCTCACTTGTTTTATTTGTTGGAGGAAATCTGTGTAGTAAACCTAACAATTTTAGATTAATTAACTGGTATTTAAAGAGACTTTACTCATATCTTTAATGCATTTGCAGTGGATTGAATGGGAGGAGGGGTGGGGGGGGGGGGGGCACAATTTCTCCAATTACAGGCCAGTGTCACTGCTTCCACGGTTTTCCAAAATAATAGAAAAAGTATTTGTATCAAGGTTGGATAAATTCATTGAAGAAAATAATATTTTAAATAATTAACAGTATGGTTTTAGGACCAAACATTCAACTGCAATGGCAATAATGAAACTAATTGACAAAATATCTACAGCAATAGACAATAAAAACTACATCAGTGTATTTGTTGACTTGAAGAAAGCTTTTGATGTCATCAATCACTCGAGGTTACTTCAGAAACTACATCAGTTTGTAATAAGAGGTGTGGCGCATCAGTGGGTTAGAAGTTATTTAAAGAATAGAAAACAATTTGTCCAACTAAACAACACTAAATCAGAACTGTGGGAGATTACTTATGGTGTGCCACAAGGGTCGGTCCTTGGACCTAAACTGTTCATACTATTAATTAATGATCTTGTAAGTGTATCTAAGCTTCTCTGTACTGTTTTATTTGCTGATGACACAACATTGTTCTATTCAGGGTCAGATATTAATGAAGTAACTAGAGTGATAAATGACACTGATAAAAGTTTACTGGTTTGACAAACAGACTTTCACTGAATATTAATAAAACAAATTTTTTATTGTTTAATGACAGAGACAACAAAGATGTAACAATAAAAATAAATGGAATGGATATTCAAAGGGTGAAAGAAACTAAATGTTTAAGAGTCATGTTTGATGAAGCTATCACCTGGAAGTCACACATAGGTTATATCAAAGGTAAAATTGCCAAAGCCATTGCAATAATACATAAAGTTAAGTTTTTACTGAATAGTTCTAGATTGGTGACATTGTATAACTCACTAATTGTTCCATACTTGACTTACTGTGTAGAAATATGGGGATCCACATGTAAAACTCATACACAACCACTGTTTATTCTACAGAAAAGAGCATTGAGAATCATTAATAACAATCACTATAGAGATCCATCCAATCTGTTATTCATCAAATCTAAACTACTGAAATTTCATGATCTAGTGAATATGGAAATATTGGAAACAATGTATAAAGCTAAAACCAATACGTTACCCACCAACATTCAGAAAATGTTTGAAAAAAAGAGTCAGTAATTATTTCTTAAAAGGAACTGAAGTATTTCAAAAACTGAAATTTAGAACCAGAATGAAGGAAATGACTATATCTGTAAATGGCGTGAGAATATGGAACAACCTTACCAAAGACATAAAAGAATCAAAGTCACTAAGTATATTTTAAAAATGTATCAAATCAAGTGTATTACAGAACTACAATAACCTAAATTCAGTTGGAGTCTGATTAGGTCTGTAAGTTAAAGGAATATAAAATGAATCTGTTTCGTTTTGTTTTGTTGTTTATTGAGAATTGTATGGAAGCATTATTAAAAAGTTTGGTTTGTAAATAGGGGCAGATAATATAAGTTATTTCTTCCCTCTGCCCCTTTTCATTCAAATTGTTTGGTGTTCATGTTTATGCATGTTTTTTTGTTGTTTGTATATATATATATATATACATATACATATATATATATATATATATATATATATATATATATATATATACACACACACAAACACTTTGAATGAAACAAATTAAGAGAGAAAAAGAGATTTGAGCTGAAGTTAGTGGGATTTGGAGTCTTATTTCCTGATATTTGGACATCTCGCCTCTGATTGGCTAGCAGCAATGCAACCACTGACTGTTTGCTTTGCAACTTTGATGTCTTATATCCACAAATAACACAAGCCTGAAGGAGTTCTGCAGTGTGGTGGAGTTGAAAGGTGTGGAACACTGAAAAATATTTTAATCATTTGTGATTATAATCTGTCACTCATGCAAGCTGAACATGAAAATAGTGTCCTACACCTATGTCCTGCAATTGCCTCTGATAGAAAATAGACGGTGAAACTCGAGGATTTGAAAAGCCTGATTGATCTACGTATGGGCCGGACAATGTCCGCACTGCCTGCTCACCACAGCCATGGAATACACCTCATTAACACACAACACTATATTGGAGCAGGTGGGAGGGAGACTAGGGGTCTTAGCACACCTCTGTTGTTGCTTGGCTTCCTGGGGCTGGAGGCTAGGAGGGAGATCTGGCCGTCTGGTTGGGGTCTGGGGTGGTAGGTTGCAGTGCTCAGCGTTGGGCGGGGGAGCCTGCTCATCAGCACCCCAGAAGAAAGAGTCAAACTCTGGTTACCGGTGATGGTTGTACCCCATGTGCAGCAGTACCTGGACCAGAGTGAATAGGGTGTGTATGGGGAGCATGAGTGGGTGTCCGGCGTGCATTTTTATAAGTCTTGGGTTGTATGTGCATGTGTGAGCATGAGGGAGGGAGTGTGTGACTGTGTCTGTGTATGATTGTAAATGTCAGGTGGGGCCTTTGACTCCTCCCCTCTCCTGGGACTTCTTTTGATGATATAGATCTTCGTCTCCCCTCCCCCTGCCACACCTGGTGTGGGGTGTGGTGCCTTGGTCTGCCTGAGTGTTCGTGGCTCCCGGGTCAGGGGGTTTAAGATTTTTGGCATCTGCCTGATCAATCCCGGTGGCGGCCTGGTGGGGTCTGGGTCCCTGGGCTTTGCTGGATCCCCGGCGGGGGTGGTCGCCCCTGGGTCCCGGGCTCGGCCGGCTAGGGGGTGGGAGGCTGCGGGCGGGCCTGAGGGCTTGCCGCTGATGTCTCCCGGGACTCTGCCAGCTGCTGGTTGTGGCCCCCCGGGGCGATCCTCTGTGCCTCTCGAGGGGAGCGGGGGCCTTTCTGGTTGCAGTCTCCTTGGGGTTCCTGTGTTCTGGGGCAGCACCTGGATCTCTGGGACTTGGAGCTCCCCCGTCTCCTATGCATCTTTGGGGGGCAGATCTGTGGTCCCTCGCACTCTCTATTGGACGCTCCTATAGAGAAACCTTACATAAACAAGCGTGTGTACACACACAGGTGCTCTCAAAAGTATGGGCTTGGGCACGTTAAACACAGGTCTTAAGACTATAGTGGGCACTTAATGCACTGTGATTTATTATCGTGTGATTGTTCAGTTAAACAATGTTGATTATATATTTCTTCATCAAGTTGACGCAGTGATAGTTTGATCTTGTTGTATTGTTGTTGTGTCCCTTTTTTTGTTTGTTTTTGCTTTTTTTTTCTTGTCTCTTTCTGCAGGTCTAGAAGCAGACTCTTGTTCATTATTGTTTATTTTTGTGGAACCCCCCCACCCCCTTCCCCCCTCTCTCCCCACCTTTTGTCTTTTCCTTTCTCTTTCACCTCTGACTCCGTATCTGGTCGGAATTACAAAGCATTCAAAAACAATAACAATGAAGTTTTAAGTATCAGGCGTGACACTAAAAGCAGATGCTTTGATGCTCCACCTGAGTGTAAATCTGTAAGGCTTGTCACCAGCATTCAGTCATTAATTCTGTTTGCTTCACAGCCAGACAGGACACGGTACAAAAAAAAAGGAAACTCGAGGATTTGAAAAGCCTGATTGATCTACGTCACGCTGTTACTTAACATTCATGGATTCACCCATCTTGACTCACGACAGGGAAGGCTGTTGTTGAAGAGTAGAAAATGTCAATATCAATGTTGCAAAGCAAACCGAGTCAGTGGTAGAGTTGTGTTGTCATTTTACAATCTGAGGCAAGAGGTCCGCATATCAGGAAATAAGGCTCCAAATCCTGTTGTCTGAAGCTCTCCTCTGATGTGGCAGTTTTCACACTGTCCCAATTCTTGCACTTCCACCCTTGCACCCCTAATTTGCCCGTTCCCGTCCGGGGGTGCATGTGCACAGGGTGTCTCAATTCTCAAGTGTGGACCTTAAAGTCCACGGTGATTTGAACTTTGGTGAAGGGCGTTACCCACAGTCCCTTGCTGTGTGGGGATCTTGAGAAGAAAGCGGAGCAATGACTCAAGTGTCCTGCCTAAAAATATGTATTTAAGTATGATTGCTGAAATATTAAATATTGTATTATTGTGTACATATATGATCACAATCACGTTTCTCTGTTGGAAAGATTCATGTCTGTTGAAAAATATTGTTGACTGATAACAATGCTGTGTATTTTTGGACACGACATGCCAGTAATTTAATCACTCGTTTTAAAATCATTCAGTACAATTTTACTGTCTGCAGTCAACAATAAAATGTTAAAATTCAAAATGAAGAAGATACTTTTCTTGCTTCTAGACAGGAAAAAACAAACAATTGAAATTTTTATGAAAAATCAAATCTTCAATATTATAGAGCCACATTTTTATCATTTCCTCTTTTAGCCTAAATGAAAGTTAATTTTACGACGATTAATGATTATTCAAGCTCTGAATTTTGAGGACTAAGATTTAATGTGGACAGCAGTGAATGTAAAATTTGTCATATAATTGTAAGTTGTTAATAAAGGTTAAAAAAGTAGTAGTTCCTGAAACTGGCACCTGAGTTTTTTTTACCCCCAGAGTACATCTTACAAGGCATTCATTTCTACTAGTGACCACTGCAAATATATTGACTAAACGAGTGTTCCACACCTTTGAAGAGAGAAATTTCTGAGATCAATAAAAATAAAAATGCTAATAAACTAAAAACAAAAACAGACAAAAAATATCACCTTTCAACTGTTTATTTCCTCTTTAAAATAATTCATACAAATTCATACAGTCACACATTTTCATGTCCTAATTTGACCAAAAATAATATTTACTGTAGAATATAGAATATGTATACTGTATATTGCTACGCCTACTACTTTACCATAAAAGTGACTAAGGTAGGCAACAGTGGACTGTGTGTTACTACCAGGGATGGAATTTCAAGCAGCACTTTTTAAAGCAAGGCTGTCGCTTTTTCTTTGTGGCACCCGTCGGTTTGAAGGAGGAATGTTTTGAATTTCTTATAGGAACAACCAGCAAAGAGTTGCTCCTCCACGAGATGACAGGCAAGATAAAGACCGAAGTTCAGGATTAAATATTAAAATGTTTAGGACTTCAGTCTGAAACAAACGTACCCTCTGTTCAGTAAAACCTAGTCAGTTTCTGGCCCAAAAGAGCTCAACATCTAGTCGGCTGTGAAATGGCAGAGAAATGTCCATCCCTGATTGCTACGCTCAATACCTCACCATAACGGCCAGGTAGGGAACAGTAAACTGTTTGAGTTTTTTTTTTTGTTGTTGTTTTGCTTATTTGTTTTTTAACTATCCAGCTGCTGGTTGGATGGGATCCAGAAAGTACTGGTTTTTTTACACCTGAACTGGGGTCAGATGTAAATATTCCAAATAGACAGTGCTGAGTTCTGCTACCAGTTAAATGGTTTCAACCTCTCTTATCAAAGCATCTACTGTTTCTATGTAAGACTCTCAGCCCAAATTAGGTCACTTTTATTAGATTTTGTTCATGAGGTGGTATATTGTAAATTTAATTAGCACACTTTGTAATTATGCTATGTGGATAATACTTGCTAAAACCCATCCTCCCAGTGCTGCTGTTTAGACACAGATACAACCAAGTCACATTGACACAGGCAGGCAGAACACCGTATGTACACATAGACAGAAGAGGCCAGTGAGGGTGGTTAAATGGTATACTTGGAAAGGATCCAGCTTTAAATATTAAAGGGATCTATCTGAAGGAACTGGCATTTTTGTTTTAACTTTATTGTGAATCTCATTTGCTTCTCAGTGCTAAAGTATGAGATCTCACTTGTGTTGAAGTAAAAACCATAGGCTTCTGGTTTGTCTTTGTTTTTTAAAATTAGGTTCATTTAGGAGAATTTGCTTTTCAGTTTCAAGTGAAAAATGTGAATCTACTGGATCTTTTAAATGCAATGCACATCTCAATTTGAAAACATATTAGCAACTTTTGGTTAAATGAACATATAAATACATATTAGCAAGAAATGCAGCACTGATGCAGAATTAGCAGCATGTGGTAACAATAATTTATTTAACTTTTCATGCTCCATAACCTGCATAATGTATGACACAGAAAGCACTGAATCAGGCCACAAGGAGAAGATTGTGACAGAATTTTAACAGGACAGTTTGTCAATCTGTAGGCTGCTACAAACTATCAGCATGCCACCTTACCAATAAATTAAATCTGCCACAAGAAATCAAGACATCCCAAGCAAGCATACCATTTTCCCACTTCTCTACAGCCTTTTATCCCTTCAGTTTGGGTCAAACATTTACACAAGTTTCAAGAGCAAGAGCATGCTCCGTAAACAAAACTGACAAAACACAAACATTAGATCAACTTTACCTCTAGCCAAAGTTGTAAAACCCTAATGTTGAAAGGTTAAAAAAGGCAAGCAGGTAGAAAAACAAAAGCACTAAGTGGCATAAAAATAATTCAACAAAACTCAACCAATGTTTAAAACAATGCTCTACCAACTGCAGAAACTTAATTTCCTGAGACGGTGTGCAAAAAGCTGCCTCTTTTGGGGACTTTGCTAAATTTGGGCAAATTAAAAACAGAAGTTGACATTGTATTCTCAAACCAGTTTGGCTACATGTAGAGACCTCTTTTTTAAGACCGGTATGCAAATATCAATATCTTCTTGTTGTAAGTCTAAAAAAATGCACACAGACAGGTTACATTCATGTCACCTATTACCTTTGCTTGTACACTGAACTACTGAAAAAAGAGAAAAACATCAAACCCACCCCGTCTACCTTTGGACACACCACAGTCTAAGACAGTCAAATTTGCTTTTCATCTCAAATCAACAAACATATATTTTTCTACCTTTTCCAAGTATTTGAAGATTTACCTGTGATCAGTAAATCACCATGTGGTTGGGGTAAAAGACAACAGTCTAGTTTTTTAATTGCAGCAGCCATCAGTTACCCAGTCCTTTTAGTCCATTATGTATTCCTTCTTCCTCTTTGGAGTGTGTTGAAACGCAACTGGCAGAGAGTTGAAAGTCCAATCTGAACCTGTGTGATAACAACTTGTAATTCAGAAACTAATGTTGCCGTGTGGGTCTCCTCCAGCTGCCAGACAACATGAACAAGTGTGCATTTGCTTGCAAAGTGGCTACAGTTGATCACTGGGATGCTGCTCTCTGTCACCCTCTGGTGGTTTCACTGTGTTTTGTCCAGGAGACGGTGCGTGGGGTGTGACAGCAGGCGGGAGGGTGTGTGTAATTGGCACAGCGCTTGGCAAGATGCCTTCAACTGGTGGAGGGAGGCCACCAGCTGGCAAGCCCACCACTCCAGGGGGATACCTGAAGATGTGAGAGAAGAGATAAAAAACTTAGTAAAAATAAAGCAGATAAAAAAGATGTTTCCACACTGGAGTAGATCTAGATCCACTGCTACCATATTCCAGAACTGAGGAGCATTAAGAAGAATGAGGTGTTTACTTAGAGATCTGGCCAAAGTAAATAAGGTTTGGGGCAGCTGTTGTACTGATCTTCAATCTTGATTAAAAATTCTATATATTAGTAGACAAAATCTGCATAGGTTTGCTGGGTCCCTCCCTTAAAAAAAGAGCTATAAAAGCAGACTTTCCGATGCTCAAGTAGAAATCTAAAGTTCAAGCTTCAAGTTATCTGGATTTGTAGAGTAGCTTCCTTAGAACTTGCAACACATCTACCTTTTGATGGATTCTGTGTACCTTAAATGTCAGTGCTTTTTAGTTGCATTTTAAATTAAATCTCTCCTTTTGTGGATGGATATCGGGTCCATCGTAGGTTACAAATTATGAAAGGTGAACAAATGGAATGCATTACCAGTTTTTGCTTTAAAATATACTTCATCATTTAAAGCAACCATGGTCTTACTGTGTGATTAAGCTCCCTCACATTAATCTAAGTACTACTACTACTACTACTAGCATCGGTCTCTGTGGTAACAGAGTAAGGACCTCTTCCTCCTCCTCACCTGACTTAAATCCTCTGACAACTCGTGGGCTCTTCTCTAATGTGAGATTTACTGTGAAGGAAGACAAGACACCTCAGCAGAAATTGATAATGAACACATCAAGAAACTGACAGACTCCATGGATGGAAGGCTCGTAGTGACTGACACAATAATTGTAGTAAACTAGATTTCACTACCAGGAGGGCACTGTTTGGACTGGATTTAGAAGCCGTGGACCTCTAAAGTGAAGTGTTGCTGTTATCTGTATGAATATCTGCAAATGTGCCTAAAAGGAATGCTCATTATGTAAGTTAATGCGCTTGTTATGTCTTTTTTTATCGGTGTTCAGCGTGATGCAGACACTGTTTATACATCAGGATGACAACTAGCTTATGAGCCATCTCTCATAAGCTGGTTTTCGAAGGGCACTACTCAGCCTGAAACAGCTCTGTACAGCATGGTTTGAGTCAGCTCATCTGAGTGTAGTTTTGTATGCTTGCCAGCTCTGTGACAGAAAGTGGGTGTACCCCTCATAGACACGGAGGGTTGGGGTTTACTTGTGACAAAAGTAGCATGAGGTCATCAGTAAACAGTGTAAGGTAACCTGTATGCTCCACAAAAACACAACAGCACAGTAAAGGTGGTGTTGGACATTCTGCTCAGTTTTACGGCTTTTGGTCAGACTCTGAACCAGGAAATGGTTGCAAGCAGTGAAGCAGCAGGCAAAAAAATGCCAGAGCAACCAGTCACTACGTTTACATGCAGCCAATATCCGGGTTATGATCGGGTTAAGGTCGGTATTTGGGTTTCTGAGTTGATCACAATAACCCGTTTACAAGCATAAATAGAAAGAGTTACCCCTAACTTGCATAACCCGATTTAAATGCGGACGTTGGGGTAGCGTCAGGACGTATGGACTACGTCCAGATGCAATATGCGTCATTTCCGGTTCTTCTTGTTCTGGTATCTGTGAAAACAACATGTTTCCCAGTTCGGAAGAGATAGCGACCGCGTTTGTTTGCGCTTTAGTTTCCTCGTCACTCCAAAAGTGTGGTGCTGTGCCGTGACTCGCCATGTTGCTCCCAACTTGTTGTTTACTTCCGGAGTTCTGGCGCATACAAGACGTCTCGCTACTCAAAAGACCAAGATTCCTTGCGAACAGAGCATGCGCAGAACACACGCTTTGATGGGGATATCCCGGTATGCGTTTACACGACCAAACATTCGGGTTAGAAAAGGGTTACCCCAGGTGTAGTAACCGGGTTTTTAAAACCCCGGTTATGAGCATATCTGGGTTTTTGGCGGTGTTTACATGGCCGTGCGGAACCGGGTTATTGTGAATATTCGGGTTTTTAAAGGGTTACTGGCTGCATGTAAACGCACTCAGTGACTCCGCCCCTAGCAAATCAGTGGCCACGGTTGCGATGTCGTGCCAACTCAGCCTTGCCAGGTACCTCAACAGAACGGGGACTAAACATTGGGGGGAAAATAGAGGGAAAATACCGAACTGTGCTATTGGAAACTGAGCTGCACCAGTCCGAGTTACTTTGAGTAGTGCTCATAGAAAACTACCTGTATTATGTTTGGCTGGAGCTGCCAACACAAACGTATCCTAACAAACTACATGCTGAAAAATATCACCTTTCTTTATTAGATTTGTAATATTGGTATTAATTTATCAAAGTGATGATTGAAGATTTCTTCCTCGTGGTTAAAAAGCAACAATAAGCACATTACTGTGGGTCATTCGTAGCTGTGACGGTTGTTACCGATAAGCGCCGTTCAGCTCAGGATGGACTGCAGCTGGATCGACTCCTGTCCAGTGGTTGTTGGGGGTGAGGAACTCCTTATTCACACAATTCTTCAGACTGTCTGGAATACGACCTATAAACCAACACAGAAGAGAACAAAGACCAACATTTTACCAATAAAGTTGTTTTATGAATTATTAGAATTATGTGCACTCATTAATATGTGGTACAAAGACTGCAGTTCAAAGCATGTGCAATTTACATTTTTGAGGTAAAGTCAGCAAGCTTACACAGGCAAAAGCAGAGCCAAATAAGAATAAATGTCTGTTCACCTGCCAGAAAAAAACATATCTAAAGATATCTTGTTTTTTATAGCCATGTGTTTACATTCTCATATATGTGTCATGTTTTCAGTGAACTTGTGTGTGTGTGTGTGTGTGTTTGTGGCTTCTGTTCACTAACCTGTCACAGCCCTTCGGATCTCCCTGGCTGCCTCCTCTCGCATCTCCAGTGATGCCTGCTCACTGTACCAGGCAGCATGAGGTGTGCAGATGAGATTAGGGGCATCCTTCAGTGGACCCTGACTGAAACTGGCACATGTAGAAACAGTACGGTCACTTTGAGTGAGTAATTTTACCCATCCCTCAGAAACGTTTCATTGGAACGCTGAACCTAAGAAACGGTAGGCTTTTCTTTTAAAGATAAATTCAACAAAAGATTCTATTCTCCAAATTCGACAGGCTGACAGTTTTTGTGTACATTGTCTGAAGAGGAAAATCAAAAGAAGAAGAAAGGATCTCTATTGATAAAATCAGAGACAATGGCATTTATAGTTAACAGTTCTTTCTACAAAAACATTAGATTCTTTACCTGAAAGGCTCCGTCTCATGAACATCCAGAGCAGCTCCACGTATCCTCCCCTCTTTCAGAGCTTGAGCCAGGGCCTTTTCATCCACCAGACCCCCTCGGGCTGTATTCACCAAGAATGCCCCCTGGCGCATCTTTAACACAAAATGACCAACAGGTAAAGCTGTGTACATTTTATTATTGGGGAGCTTGTTAAAGACAAAGACAGACATAAAAACTGAATTAAGACCACTAAAATTCATTGATTACAGAAACGAGTTAAACATTAGCATGGAAAATAACCATTTGATGGGAGTATAGGGTTGATTTCTCTTTCAGTTTATGTAGCTAGCACCAAGTTGGACCTTTTGCCAGTTTGAACTGAACTTTGCCTGGTTTGCTCCATGTCAACAGTTCTGTTCATAATTTTTATGGACAAAATTTCTACACATTGGTGTGTACGGACTCGAGTTTAATGGCAGGGGGTTATCATCTCTTCTTTTTGAGGAAGACAGTCTTCTTCATCGAACTTTGATCTTGAGCTCTTGCTGTGGAGGTTAGCAGCTGAGTCTAGTGGCTGGGATGAGGATCAGCACCTTCATTCTGAGCCATGGATTTTAACTGGAAATGTTTGGGGAAGAGGTATTACTTAATGTGGAGGAGCCTTTGAGTTTTGTTCATGGGTGAGCGAAGGAGGTAGCAGGAGCTCTGCACAGACCAGGGCACTGATGTGAGCTAAGGTTGGAAAATATATGAAAGTTTTCCAACATATTTTCATCAGTCCAAAAAAGGTCAAGGGGCAATGTATTTATGCAGATGACATTTAGACATGGGCCTAACATAGCCTGGTGCACCATCCTATATATGTGAAAATGTAGTCTGGCCACGACCCATTGACAGATCTCAGTCATAGGGCGAAATCTACGGTTTTCTTTCAAAACATCGCCACATGCTATTGGACAAGATAATGTACTCATCATTACGGATGTCAGTCCACAGGGCAGTCTGCCGTACATCGTTAAAGAAGACGCAAATACACCCTTTTTCTAAATAAAGACTTAAAGCAGTGGTTCTCAGGCGTGAGAGCCTGCAATTGGTTGGAAAATGTGAGAATCTGGGGTGGTACTTCTGACCTGTTGGCCAATAGCTGATGGAGCACATGGCAGCTGTGTCAGAGTACCTGTTTGATGGTGAAGTCGTTGATCAGGTGGTGGTTGTGTTCATTGAGGCTGCAGTGCAGAGAGACACAGTCTGAGTGGAAGAGCAGGTCCTAAGAAGGGAGTGACAAGGCGGTGTAAAAATCACAATGTGGCTAGTTTACAAAAACCTCTGTGTTATTTTAGTGTTGATTTCTCATTAACAGATTACAGCATTGCCAACAGCAGTGGTTTAATGTGTCCACGGCCGCTAAATGTTCCTAATCTATCTGTAGTAACGCTGCAGCAGCTACCACTTGCAAAGTCACATCCATAACAAAGGTTTATGTAATTGTTTTTATACATTTGTTTTTAATTTTATTTATTTTCACTATTTGGGTTAAAATTTAGTAGTAAACATCCCTTACTTATCCCAGACCGAGCCAGCAATATACTGACAAAGCTCCATTGTTCTTGGATCAAGGTTGGATTTGGATTGTTTTTGTTCCACTGTATAAATAAGATTTAATACAAATTATTTAAAGTTGTGTCCTTTGATTGTACTTTCTAGCCATTAAACCCCAAGTGGGACATATGTAGCTGTAATTTAAATACATCAGAAACTGATTAATCCCATCTCAACGACCCATTACTCCTAATCTTATTTCGTGTTACTTTTTCCTGAGTAACTTAATCGTTTTATTTAACCTTTGGAGACTGCTTTGTTTTTAATTATTCTAAAGCCTTTGGACCATGAAGTGTAAGTTTGCTGCGACAGCTAGAGTCCTGGGAAATGTTACACCTGAGTGGTTTAGAGACATCAGAGGTCTGAAAGTTTGAAGAAAATGTTTCTGTTAGTGGTCAGGCTTGTCTTGTGTTTCATACAGGATTTGTGTGTGTGCGTGTGTGTGCGTGCGTGCGTGCGTGTGTGCGTGTGTGTGTGTGTGTGTGTGTGTGTGTGTGTGTGTTTTCACCTGTAGCGTAGTGACCCTTTGTAGTCCCAGAGATCTTTCTACACCATCAGCCAAATAAGGGTCATAGAAAATCACGTTGAAGCCAAAAGCCTTGGCTCGCAGGGCTACAGCCTGGCCCACCCGCCCTAAAAGAGCATCAATGCACACTGCTGCTTAACCACACACATCAGTACACTAGAGAATGTAGATTACACCTTTAATGCTGATCTATTTAATTTAATGTAATGATTAGTTATTTTCACTTCGTAATCACTTCTTAACTGCTGACTTTCACATATTACACAGCTCTGGTGACACAGTTTCTCATCATTAAAGGAATCCTTCCAGAATACAGAGGAGAGATTTGCATTCTGCTTGTGTTTAATCTGCTTACACTTTATTGCCAGTAACTTTTTAATAAACCATTTTAGCTAAGCTAGGGATAAAACCTAAGACGAAATTCCTTAGTAAAAATATAATCCACAGCCCAAAATTCTCACCAAGCAGTTAAGTCACTCAGTGATTACAAAGCAAAACGAACGCAGCTAATGTCGTCTCTACATGGAGTCACAGTGTTGGTACTCACCGAGCCCTATGAGTCCCAGAGTCTCTCCTCTGATCCTAGCTGCTCCTGATGCCACTTCTCGAATCTGCTCCACACTCTGAACTCTGGTGCCTTCTCGCAGAGCCTGACAGAAATGAAAATTAATGATCACTTCCAAATCTGAGCCAGACAACAGACACTGTTAAACTGGATCCAGCTACAACTCATGTCACAACTGTGCACCAGAAGCTACATCCTTTTGAGATATAGTGATCATAATTATAAGTCTGTGAAATGATTTGAGGAACAAATCATTTTACTGTACCTTCTACACTTTACATCAACGTCTTTCAAATACAGCCACATTCTAAAGAAAATGAAACGTTTCAATTTTGCTGGTTCGTCAGTTGACAGTGATTAGTATTGTGGAAACAGAATTTCGGATAACCAAATGCACGCCTGTAACTCATACATTCCGAAGTAGTTTTATTTGAATGAAATCAGTGTGAGTGTTTTTTTTAATCAACTACATAAAAATACAAACCTGGTGCAGCCAGGTGGTCCGTCGGTACAGTGTGAGGATGTGACAGAGCGTAGAGTCCGCTGTCTCCTCCACCGAAGCTGCTGGCATGTTACAAACCGCTATTCCTGTTGGACAAAAGAGCAGATCGGGGTTAGTAAGAGCGCCTGCCAGGCATTCTTGTAGATACATGGATTTTATTGAAAATTATGTTCTTGTAGTCTATTACAAAGGTGGTAAAATGGGATGTTTCTAGTGAATAGAAGGAACTTTGAGAAATGCTATCAAGATTTAGCAGTGCCATGCCATACCCTGTGGACAGCACTTGATTGGTGCCAATTTCATCCTGCAACAAGATAATTACTGATTTGAACCCTTTTGAACAGTATGGCGAAAGATGATGAAGCTTTCTTATTATCCAATACTTGAAGAGTTGAATCTTCAGATTCACACTGCAGGATTTTATTTAATTACCCTGACACACAGAACATCACCTAGGAAAGTCAGGAAGGAGCTTTGGAGGGATTGTTCCCTGAAATGACAATAGATTATGGCCTCAACAAAGACTCTCTCAGATGCAGGAAGTATGGAGTAACACCTCATCAAACATGAAATAATAACGGTAACATGAAAGAAAATATTGAAGAAGACGTTCTGAATTTCTTAAAACAATCATTTCTAACTCTGCTAAGTTTGCATGGGCACAAGTAATCGGAATGAACGTCCTATCAAGTCAAAACTTCTTCAAGTAAACATGTCAATCTGAATATTCTGATTCAATACGGCCCCATCTGAATGAAATTCCATTCTGATTGAGAGAGGTGGTTTTGTCCGATCACCATTCCGATTGACATCCATGTGCACACTCATTCGGATTCACAGAGTAAAATAAAGCCCATTGCACATGTGCGCAACTTTGGCGTGAAGTCATTCCGCCTTTGCAGACGCTCAGGACAAGTCAAAAACATGGCGCGAGGTGAATAGAAGTTATCCTGCTCTCCTCTCCTGTGGCGGAGGAGCAGTACTCTGACTCTGTAGCTTAGTTAAAGTGATCAGTAAAAACAAAAGCATACAGGTAAAAATGTAACAAAGGTTCATTACGGGGAAAAAAATCATAAGTTAATGGACCAAACTAGAGAATAAGAAAACTAAATGTGAGGGGAAAGACGAGCGGACAAGATGGTGTTTGTAAACAATTTTTTTCTGGGAAAGACAACATGCTCAACGTATTTAATCTGACTGAATGCTTGGTGTATATATACTCACAGCTTGATTGGATCATTTCAGTTAGTGCCCATGTAAACAGAGATTTAGGATTTCTGATCAACCAAGATTTGAATCAGATACGGGACATTTGGCGCATGTAAATGTAGCTAATGTCTGCATGTCCTCTTTGTTTACATTATTTCTTATTCTGACCAATTTCATTAGTATAATATCGACGTGATCTCTAACTTTTGAGTGGTAGTGTACGTATGTTTGAGTGTGTATCGTTTTGTACCGAGTTCTCCGGCAGATTTGATGTCTATGTTGTCGTAACCGCTGCCAATACGAACGATGATCCGCAGAGCTTTAAACTTCTCCAGGTCTTCTCGCATCAGAGTGATGGTGTGGTACATTAGAGCTCCTACAGCTTCGTTCAGGACCTGGACACAACACAGGAAATGATGCAGTAGTGGTGTTAAAGTGCAGAACAAAATGATTATGATCTGATCAGAGGGAATAATATCCTAGTTTATTCTTAGAGATGTTTAATCAGGGTGATCGCTTATTGTCTTAACATACAGTCAGGTATATTAGCGGATAGGATCAGGATTTGGTTTTCATGTATAGTAGGACTGTGTCCCTCTGTGAAGCAGTTTAGCTCCTATGTTTAATTGGTTCCCAGTTAATTGTGTGTCCTTATTCTAGCATTGCCAGCCCTCCATCATGTGAATGTGTGTGTGAGAGTGTGAGGATGAAAATGAAGTTCAATTATAGTAAAGAAGCCCTTTTAATTACTCAGTGAGGTGGCTGCTTTTAGGAGGGACAGAGCAACAGATAGTGGGTGAGCCATCTGTTTCTCCCACACTGTGGCCTACTGAGCGCGCTCACAGAGAGACTGTGCCTGGCAGACACCCAGAACAAGACGTAACCCTCCCAGACACACAAACCCATTTACAGTCCGTATTAGCGGTGTCTGGATCTGAGCATGACCCACATTTTAACTTTCCTCTTTGGGTTTCTTTTTGTTTCAGTTCTAGTTTCCTTTTGTGTACAAATGCAATTTAAGCTTTTCACTCGGAGGTTTTTGCTGGATGTTAACACTGCATTTAGACAGTTCCCGTTTGAATGGTATTTTGCAAAAATATAAAAATAAAAACCCACACACACACACACATATATATATATACATATATGTTTTGGCATTCTTTACTATTAATGCTTCCACTTTATGTTGACAAACAGAAGTTGCTATTTGTGTGTTTTACCTTCTCGTGGATCTCCTGTGTGGACTGAGCATCACAGAAAGCCACAGTTGCTACATCTTTCAGGATGGGCATCTCCACCGTGCAGTCACGCCCGTCCAATAGCGCCACCAAGGGGCGCGGGTGCATGGGCCCATTCATAATGGGTGGTCTAATGCCTAACAGTGAAAGAAAGGAAAGAATAGGTCAAATGAACTGAGTAAAAAGGGTTTAAAAAAAGAGAAGCGTGACATTTTTATTTTGTTGGATTGGTACCGTCTCTAGCTCAGTCTCTTTAGAGGCTGAATACTTGACGACATTAGTGAGATCTTTACTCAAACACGTACAGAACTTTTATTATATATCACATTTTAACCAGTTACACATTTTGGGTTAAAATTATCTATTGAAGCATCACATTAGAAACAGCCAGTCTCTGAAACTCTAATCTGTATTTTACTTAACAGGAGCCTGCTCCAATCTGCTCTTCAGATTTAGCCATTACCCTGAGACTGCTGCCAGCCTCTGCAGAAAGATAAGTGCATTTAAGAGGACATGTGCTAGATGACCCCACTAGTGGGTCTTTGTTCGGGTTTAAGGAGAATAATGAGCCATGGGATTTGCATTAATTAGTTTTTGTTAAATATTCAGTCTTCCTGTGGTTTTTCCCTCTCCGCATTACTGAAGGATTATTCATTTGATATCGCCCAACCTAACTTTGAACCAAGGTGTCTGAAAGACAAACCTATGTTCAGCTGAAGGCTGTAGTCATTTGTGTGACTGCGATTCTTTATTTATGGTGAGTTTTGACACGTCTGGTGCTGCTTTTGAGAACCTAAAGCAAAATGGTTGTTAATAATAAAAATAATGATATTCATGAGACATTTTGGCATCTCCAATCCCATAAATCAGATTACAACTCTTCCCTTAGCAGAGTGCATCTTATAAGTCTTAATTGTAAAAGCTATTGTTCATTAATTTGCTTTATTAAAAGACTGAATTTTTTATTTTGCTTTTATTTTTTTTGCTTTATTTTCGTTTTTTCAGCATTACAATTTTGGTTACATCATTTTTTAGCTTAAATGAACTATTCTCTGTTTTCTCTGCAGGTAACAGGAAAACATACAAGTAAACTCATATTTGTCTGTAAATTTATATTTTTTCTCCTTCTATGTTGATTTCTTAAAAACTTCATGCTGAAAATGTAAATATGTTGTTGAACGTTTAATTTCTCAAGAGGGAGAACTGTAATAGTACATTCAAATATTTGGAAACTACACAAAAGTAAAGTATTGTCAACTATTCCCAGAAGGGAAATAGACTTCATGGGAATAGGAAGGGTTTCTGTACAGTATTGATATAAGCAAACAGTAATAACTGTATTTCTTTTAGAATTTGGTGAATTCAGACAAAAGGAGAATGCCCATATTTGCTACATGCCTGTATAGATTGTTTCAGACATACATGGCCATAAATGATTTTGTGTTAATCAACATGAGTGCTAGAGCTATTTAGAAACATCTATGTTGATTTTTTTTTTGTGTGTGTCTTTTTAACTACTTAAGATCAAAACTTTTATTAAAATTTTACACACAGCATGCTGACAAACACATGATTTCATTCATTTATTGAAACATCTCACAAAACATGAGAAATTGTTAATTGTCTAACAGTGCATGCCTCCCTCTAGGCACCACAGTAGCAGCCCAGAGCGAGAGAGGTTGGCTTTAGCAAAGTCCATCAGCCAGTGTCTGCATTGTCTTCTTATCCAAGCTGTCAAATTACGCCATGAAATCCGATCTGATGAGGTAACCCTGATGCGTGGTAAAGCCAATAAGGTGAAACCTTAAGTCCCCCTTTCACAGTGCTTTATGTGGACTGGTAAAACATTAGCTTCACCTAATAGGATTTGTCTGGAGGCAGTTGCACTTTCACATCAATACCAAATCTATGATGCATATAGCTCAGAAATTGTAAATCAGCAGAAATAACTGACTTCTCCATGCCTGAACGGAGGGCTGCACTGTTCTCTTTCCTTCCCCTACAACAGGCGACCAATCGTTTACAAGATTCCATTTACGCTGAAACACTCAGTGTGTTTCCAAACTGCTGTGTTCTAATTAAACAGACAGGATTTTCACTCATAATGTACTCCTCGCCTCTCTTCTCGTCACTTGTGCAGCAATGTGGTGCTTATGGAAAGGAACCCAGATTCCAGACATTTCTGCTGCTCACACTTGGTCAGACTGAGGGAGGAAATAACTCTCATTCCAGCACTGTGCATGACCTTGGGAGGACCAGCTCTACTGACTTCTGAGTCGTACTTTAATAAACCAGTGTTCTGTTCACACACTCTGTCACCACACACACACACACACATACACAAAGACTATTACACTGCACTGGAAATATTAACTGCACTCCTTAAATTCTGAAACTGAACAAAAATGACTATTATATCTTAGCTTCTTATTAATTGCATCTGCCTGCCTCGCTGTCACGTTAAGTACTCGTTAAGTTCTTCATAATATTAAATAATTGCCCAGGCTTTTCTCTCAGTCCCTAAACCATTTTCCATCCATTTCAATGTCTCCTATTATTTTAATAATCCGCAGCTCCCACCACCCCCTGTAGTCTGGGGCTGGTGTAACTGCTGGGAGCTTTCACAGTGCAAACAGGCCTCTTGACAGCCAACTGGGGCCACAGTGTCAACTCTGCTCTGCTTTCCAGACAGATCTGGAGCCCTTACTATGAATTTTATACATTTGGAGGAAGTTCAGCACCTTGGAGGTAGAGGTCTGCAGCCTGCGAGTGAAGAACAAGTTCATGCTGAAGAGAAGGGACTTTTGTGACATTCAGGATGCATGTTGGATTTTAAAATCTGCTAACCAAGTCAGAACTAATTTGATTCTGTCATTGAGAGTCATGTAAAACAAATGATGAAACTTTTCTGCTGCATGAGAGCCAATGAGACCTTGTTTGAATCCAGCTGTCATACATCAGTTCATAAAACATCTGGGTTTTTGTCCTTAAGGAGATCATATTTTAAGGCTTTCAGCTAACAAAGAAATCTAGGAAAACCGGCCATTTATGTTGCCTTTTAAACTAGAAGTCCACCATCTTTGGCTGAAAGGATAAAGGAAAGAAAACAAGCGTTGTGGTCCTGATTTGACCACAGCAAATGTATGTTGTTACACACGCTTCAAATTCCTGCTATGAAGTTTTAAGCCTGCCTTTCACATTTTAGACAAAAGGGAGGTGTGGCTTGTTTATCAAGGAAATCAGTGATTAACACGGTATTACAAGTTAATTCTTTTCAACACCTCAAAAACAGTTTGTACTGGTATTTCCCATACTCTGACCTAGAGCTGGGCAATAAATCGAAAATTTATTGTTATCGAAATGTCTCACTCTTATGGAGATAAGTTTCCCCATGTCAATAAATTTGATAATAAAAAAAGACAAGATGTGTTTAGGTTGGTAAAGTTCATGTCCCTTTAAAGGGGCATTATGGAAGTTTGACAGCCAAAACATGCATAGAAATAATAAATTTCTTCTTCATACATTCTCCTGCAATGCCCTGGTCCTGTAGAATGAGCCCTGGCATTTTTACTGTGATTGCCTGTTTTTCTGTAAAATCACAGAAAAAGAGAGCTGCTCGGGTCGAGCAGGCTGCTTCATGCACGTTCACGCTCAGGCATAGCCCGTAGCATTTGCTATCAGTAGCTTTAGCAGCAGAGAGCGTGGCAGTGCCAACTCAGCGACTTTGTCACTGTTCCTCACACCTAGTGATGAACCTAGCTACATTTCTGACTACCCTTAGCTACTTTCTTCTAGATATTTCCTGCAAATTAGCAATAAAATAGCCATTTTCGCTCCGAACCGTTCTTTGAACGTTGTTTCAGCTGTCATCAAGGATATAAATGTTACAGATATGAGAGACATTACTGGCGCTTTAGCTCACCTAATCAAACGTCGGACTCTTGTGCAGAAGATCCGGGTTCGATTCTTGATGTACACGTAATTTATGTAGAGTGTATTTTTTACATTAATGGTATAATTTTTTACAGTAAGATGCCCAAATTTTTATTTGAGACTTGCCGAACGGCATTGAATTCACAGATAAAAAAGATGTGGGTTCAACTTTCATTTTGGAACAATTTTTCAAGCAAGGGAAGGGAATGATCTGAGCATGCAGGGGACCGACCCATCTTAAACCTTTGCCGGCTGTGCTGAAGAGAAAGGTACAGAACCAAATTATTTAATTAATTAGCTGTGCGTTCTCCTGTCCTCTGTCCTCCGGGCCACACACACACATGGAGCTGACTGTCTTGGCTGTATTTTCGTTAAGGAGCCTGCTATTGAAGCTGCCGTTACGCTTTTGGCCTGAGGGGGCAATCGCAAGCATAAAAATTCAAAACTCCGTAAAGTCCCTTTAAGAAGCTGTACCACCTTGAGTCACGTAAAAATGTGACTCAACATAATACATGTGACAGCCTCATCTAGTGGACAATTGTCCACTTATCGTTATTAAGGTGAAATACTCAATATATCGTGGTATTGATTTTAGGCCGTATTGCCCAGCCCTACTCTGACCATATTTCCAGAATCTAAATTAGAGTTTGTGTGTAGATGTCATAAATGACTACAACCGAGGGGCTAAGGAACCACCAACGTCCAAGACAGAATGCTGAAGACAGAATTGTTTGCTTGGAATTTAAAAAATAATAATTTCAAAACATCCTTTTTGTTGAGGACAGTCTCAACAAAAATAAGATATTCAAATCTAATACAGGTTTTCCTCAATTCTCTTTTCTTCATTATTCTCTTTTCTACACATTTAGTCCAAAAGCACATGAAATAAGTGCTAAGTAGCAGTATGTATGAATGTTGGAGGAAATACTACATGACTCATCTCCCTTTTACAACTAGCACATTGACTTTCAAAACACATTTAAACCTTCTGTTGCAGTCTAACTGCACAAGAGGCAGATATTTTTAGGTTATTCCTTTTTCATTGTGAAGCAGGGAAATCAAGTCAAACTGCTTTAGTTAAACAATCTTTTCAGTCCTTTTCTAACCCAACAGCAGATGACACTTTTCAGCTGCAGTGTTTGAGTTCTCCACCGTCAAAGGCAGAGAGGAAAAGCAGTCCTGACTCCTGTGATCAGTCTGTCGCCGTACAAACTGGCAATCAAGCCACTGCAGGCCTGAGTGATAGTGTTAGCGGCTCTTGTGGCGTGCAGTGACACGGTGTGGTTTGAAAGGCCCCCCTATCCTCGTTTTTCATCCCTCTGTGTTGATATCACCGTCCTTTCATCTATTGTTCCCACTTTTTCCTCATCTCCATCAATCATTTCAGTTTGTGTTCCCATGGCTTTTACTGGCTGCTTTCTTCTTCGATGCTGCCAGTTTCTCTCAAATTGCAAAGAAAAACATCATATCGTGATTTTACTTACTCTGTCTTTAATGGTTTAATGTTTTTTATTTCTCCCTTTGGCTCAGATGCCAGAGCTCGACCCCTAGCCCTTCCCACCCTAATACACTGGAATACAGGTGTCTAGTATAATCAGCACCAGGTCATGGCGGCTGACATGGCCACTACGCTGCCATTTTTGTTGCATACAAGTGCTTACATGATCCCCATGCAGGTCTCTCACACCCATACTCCTGTACACACAGGCACACATAAAAGATCTGAATTTGCAACTCGTGTCGAAAAGGTTCTTCAGGTTTCTCAGCTTTTTGTTCCCATTACAGAAAACACCAGCGGCAAAACAGATGCATACTTTTCATTTACAGTTACTAAAGAAATGGTAAACATTTACTTAAGCTTATTGATCCACTGCATTAGACACAAAAATACAGAATGCTATTTTTAATTGTAACATAAGCAACCACCGACCAGTAGGAGTTAATTTTACAACTTAAGCAGTGTTTTGCTTTTAAACAATCCTTACAGCAAATATTACATTTTAATACAGGCTTTAAATCCATTATAATTGCCTCCTTGTTCTGCTGGATTAACTCTTATAATGCTGAAAGAAAGACACAATTAATTTGATGCTTGTATTGAGCCGGAGTCCCTTTAAACACTCAGGAGTAACTGGGCCCTCCTAAATGATTATTAAAGCTGTGAATTTATTACATTTTGATTCTTGGCTTTTCAAACGGCCAGCTACGACTGTCCTTTGCTTGAAGACGAAAAGCTAATTGTTTTTACTCACGCAGTATATCCCTGAACATGTCTTGAGACTTTCTGAACAGATTAGCGATTTTCCAGCCAGCTCTGTTGTAGTATCTCACACAGATTGCTGATTGAGATATTGTGTGTGAATGTAGCAAATATGCCAGGGCATGTACTGCAAGAGAGCAAGTGGTGCTCGCTGCAGAACCACAAAGGCGGAGCTGCACCAGAAGGTGGAGCTGCACCAGAGTCAGACCCGCCCATTCCAGAATCAGCCCCGCCCATTCTATCAGAGTCAGTCCAATTCCTTCCAGTTGTCAGGCTTTATAGCATTCTGGAACCAAAGAGGGTGTTATGGCTAAAAAATGCAAGATTGAGGACGGAGTTGAGAAGTGAATTGAACAGTTTTTGTAAAGGTTCCATATAATTAAAAATCTAACTTTTGGAACTTTTAATCATGTTATATTGTCATTTCCTCATAAGAAACACGCCAAAGCCATTTTTGGCCTCATTCATGCATTTTCTTCCCATCTCAGCTTCAATTTGGTCTCCTCCCCCGAAGCGGGTCTGGTTTTGGTTCTCAAATCTGGATATTCTGTGAATTTTCTGACAAATTATTTCTGAAATGACTTCTACTGAGACACCGCCAATAAACCATACATCCCATCTCCAAAGACACACTAAATAGCATAATAAAATGTAACGCCACCTAGTTTTTATCAGATATGGTGGTGTAGTGGTGATGGTGTCAGGTTGACATGCAGTTTTGCGCTGGTTCGCCTCCCAGCAGTGGAAATATCCTATAATCTCTTTTCCTCATTTCTAGCTACACTTGCCAGTACTATGTTTACAACAATTTATTGGTATGCCGTTTAACATATAATGACTAATGTGTTTTTTTTATTTATTCATTCGTTTATTTAGCCAGTGTGAGTCCATCTGTGAGCAGAGTTTCAACTAAAATGCTGTTTAGGAACGACCAAATTCAAAGAACTTGTAGAGACATAAATATTTTGCTGAAAATGAACATTACAACTAAAATATGAACAAATTCAATGTTTCAGCTGGCTAAATATATTGTTGCCGACCCCACCGAGAATCGAACCAGCATCAGCTGAGGGGAAAGCGAAACTTAACTCAAACGATCTTGCCACTGGACTAACAGAACCCACATGGTGGTGGTACATGCTGTTGTACAGGACTTTTATTAGAGCGGCTGTGGGCAGATATTCGCTAAGAGAAACTTTTTTATTTCGGGATATATTCAGACTTTGTCATGTAGCAAGTTATATTTATCTTGTTTAATTGGAGCATAGAACATAGCATTAACGACTGTAAACTAGTAACAGCCGTAATTCATGTGGGTCAGGTCAGTTTGCGATAAAGTTGAAAACAAAAACGGAAGTCAGTGGGCTAGGCTGAGTTTGCGTGAATGGGCGGGGCTGACTCTGGTGCAGCTCCACCTTATGGTGCAGCTCCGCCTTTGTAGTTCTGCAGCGAGCACCCTCTCCAAGAGAGAGCGCACGCTCGTACAATGCTTTCATTCTAAGTAAAAATACATGTACAGAAAACATCTAATAAAGAGTTTTATTTTCTTATAATGCTGTAAACAAGACAGAAAGGTAGTTTCTGCGTCCTCTGAACTACCCAGATGCACAACATTTTAGAGGAGATGCAGCCTGAGCTGCTGACTTGTTTTCTAGAAAATCATGTTTATGTGTGAAAATGACTTTTGTAAAGACCACAGATATGCCAATAATATAACAGCTGGCAGCATTTCTATACAATCATATCATTTACAGCTTTAGATTATATTTATGATTTAGACATTGTTAACAAAGAGGTGACTCAAGTAATCAGTGTTTTGTATCGAAATCCCAGACAGAAATTATAGCCTGCTAACTTGCTAATGCCTGTGGATGTAACTTTGTAAGCCTGCGTAACGACGTGTTATTTATCCACCTGCCTAGACTCAAGTGGTTCAAGCTAATTCAGTCACATATAATGGTATCTCTAAATAACCTAATTTATCGTTACATATTTCTAATTTTAATGAGATACAGTACATCCAGTCTAGTGGTGAGAAGATCTTTCTTTGTTGCTCGTAAGTTATACTTCTCTAAACTGCAGTACAGAATAAGGAGACATTTTCTCACAGTTGTGCACATTTTAAACATTTTTTGTTGTTTTGTGTGTGTGGGGGGTGTGCACAATGATCAGTCTAACACCCTCACCGGTTCAACAAAACCGCCCCTAACAACATGTCACCACAGGAATTAGCTTTGTGTCATGACGGTAGTGTTGACATAGATCCTTCAAGAGGAAATATCTGTCAGTAATCAGGCACAACGTGTTTTACATTCTGCTTTGATTTAGTCAAAATCTCAAACAGCTCTTCACACAAATAACCTTATTAATATGTCATCATGTAAATCTGATTTTACTGTAATGAGAACCCGACCAGCATCTGCCATCATTACTGATCTAGACCTATATAACCAGATCAAATGCAGTTCAACACACGGATCACAGGACCCCTGCCTTCTATCAATCCGTCAACCCGCCAGCAGGAACGACTAGCTGATTTGTCTCCTACAGGTTCAGCGGTCGCCACCTCATTCTGGTGATAAGATCAGTGACACTATCATCAGCTTACAGAGTTTTATACACCTTCCATATTTATAAATCACAGTGACCTTGGCCATGTAAGTGGTGAGAGTTTTATCTCCAAAGCGAGAGAAGAAAAATATGAAGTGAGCAACTCTTATCTTTGATGCCATCAAGAGGTAGAGCCTGCTGATGACATCACACATGACAATATTCACAAATCCATGTGATCACAAGTAAATGACTGGGTGGATGTCATTTATTCTCTCACCCTCCTCCACCCCGACTCCCACCTCCACTGCTTTCTTCCTCCCACCAGCCCTACCTTGATCCTGTTTTCTAGAACGGTCTTTTCCAGCCACCAGCACAAGGTGCATTTATCACTTCTGTCTAAACACGCCTCTGAGTGGGTGCATTTGTACTTGAATATGTGTGTCACTCGAGTTCCCTTTATGTGTGCATCTGTGTAGTGTGTGTGTGTGTGTGTGTGTGTGTGTGTGTGTGTGTGTGTGTGTGTGTGTGTGTGTGTGTGTGTGTGTGTGTGTGTGTGTGTGTGTGTGTGTGTGTGTGTGTGCGTCTGTGTAGTGTGTGTGTGTGTGTGTGTGTGTGTGTGTGTGTGTGTGTGTGTGTGTGTGTGTGTGTGTGTGTGTGTGTGTGTGTGTGTGTGTGTGTGTGTGTGTACTTTAGGGAACCACTATTCATAAAAGAAGCACAATAAAAGGGGAATATGTGTCATGTCCTTGCTAGCCCTCAGAGAGAGAGTGAGATCTATTTCTGTCGCCACGAATGGAGGTGCTCAAGCAGCCTTCAATAACGGAGATTTTCCATTCACACGCACACACACACACACACACACACACACACACACACACACACACACACACACGCAGATAAAAGCAGAGAGCTAGCTGTTTACCTAGAGGCATGCCTTTGTTGAGGAGATGTGAGCTTCCCATGGTGTGTTCCCCAGCCAGCCAGCACACTACACCAACCTACAGTCTTCACACAGCAGACATGAACAGGAATCCAGTCAGCATATGGCGGCTGTGGCCAGCTACCTCTCTTCCCTTAGTCCTTCTCCCAGCCCCTCAGTGACAAGCATACACATGTGCTCCCCCTTTTTCTCTCACTCCCCTCCCTTCCGCCCCCTTCGCTTGCCTTCTCTCTATCTGCCTTTACCCCTCCCTTGCTCCTTCCCTCTCTAGCTACTTCCCTCCCCTTCCTTTCTCACTTTCTATTACAGAAAATCTCTCTGTCTTTCTGTTTCTATCTCTGTCGTGAAAAAGACTAAACAATGCACTTAAGAGGTGCTGCTTTCATGGGAACAGGAGCGCAAGAGAGACTAAAGAGGTGGTGGGGGAGAGGTGTGTGTGTGTGTGTGCGTGCGTGCGTGCGTGCGAGAGAGAGAGAGAGAGAGAGAGAGAGAGAGAGAGAGAGAGAGAGAGAGAGAGAGAGAGAGAGAGAGAGAGAGAGAGAGAGAGAGAGAGAGAAGGAATGGGGGGAGGAGCTATGTTGGCCAAAATTCATCTTTTGTTTCCTGAAAGACGACAGGAAGAAAAAAAACTAGTTATGCAACTGCAAGATTGAGGAAGAAGAAAAACGGGTTCTTCTGATATCAGAAAAGTTATTGTAAAGGTCTCAAAACTTCATGTAACATTGTAGAACAAAGAGGAACCAGAGCTTCAGTTTGTGTTTTTAATAAATTAGGCTAGATACGATTAAATGTAGATTCATTATCATTTATCAGTTTCCTCTCAGGTATGCTTACTTGAGGATTTATTTAATGTTTACAACTAAAAATGAAAACTATTATAACTAGTAAAAAACATTTAGAGAATACATACTGTATATTTATAATTTCATGAATAGCAGACAATTTGATAAGATAAATGTGCTGTATTTGCATCTCACTATAATCAACACTTAAAATAAAGCTAAGGTCTTACAGCAGAGCAAAACAGAAAGTAACTCAACCCCCACACTAGTCCTAATTTGACTACAAGTATAGTTATATGATATTGGACTGGTAAACCCTAAGAGTTTTAAACTGGTAAATGTTACTTTTGAATTGGCAGGTTCTTCTTTTGGGGGACATTGATTTACTGTCCAAGGACCTCTATTGCTCCACATCACAGATTTATCCTTCATCTTCATTAAAACATCAACATTTTTTAGCATTTAGCTGCCCTGTGCATCCTAGCTCTGTTAAAAATTGGTTGTGAAATTCTGGGTATACAAAGGAAGTGTGGAGTCAAGTGGAAGTCATTTCATTTCAGATTCAGCTTAGCCTTCATAGTTGTCTAAATCTTTGTCTTCGGTTTTTCTGTTCTACAAATCTTCCCAAATGTGTTAACATTTTTAGTCTTTCCCAGTGAATTTCATGAACCTTCCATTGTGTTTCTGGTAATCAAAATAAACAAATTAGCAAACGGGCTAATCAACTTGAAGCTTGGCTGGTTGCTGTTATGGACACAGTGCTCTACTGTTGATGCTACATTTCCATCTGTTAAAAAACACATTTTAAATTGAATATCAGGCGCATATAGAAAATGTTATTTTCCATATTTATGATTTGCTAGTTCATAAAACCTTTTTCTGTGAGGGAAACCAAAACCTCCCACCTGGAAGCTTGGCAGTAAAAATTGTGCATTTCAAAAATCACTTTGATTAGATTGTATTAAAGGAGCTGCTTAATAACTCTGAGTAATTTTAGTTCAAAATGATATTTGTCTTTACCATTTCAAGTCTAAAATAGATGTCCCTTCAAGTTTTCCTCAAACGTTATCCCTATCACCCTCATAGAGCATTGCCACCATTGCCCTCTGGGTCCAGTTTCATCCTGACTATTCTGATTTGGATTATTCAAAAGATTCAAACAAATAAGAGTCTATACCATAAAAGTAGTGGGTGGAACCAAACCCTGACACAGAGTTGTGGTGATAGGTTTAGCCCTGCAAGACTAAGTTTGTCATCATCTCTTAAATCACTCGTTATGACCCTGAGCCAGAGAACCCTGATGCAGGCAGTGCACAGTCAAAAGTTACAGAGGGTCCGTGTAATATAAGCCTGCAGCTGCCTGCTCCAAGAGTACCAGCAGCCTTGCTGCACAACAGATGGTGTAACTGTCCCTGAGACAGTTAAAATAAAGTTGTTTATTTCAAATGTTTCTGTGATAGAGAGATGCTTAATTTAATTACTAGATAAGATGATAAAAGTGTAACATTGATTTAAAAACATGTCTAAAATATGTGATTAAAAAATATGGGTTTGTTAAATATGTAACGTGCTGTAAAGTTTGTATGAGGTAGAGTTTGTAATGGTCACATGATCAGAGTTTGTTTGACAGCGCTACCATAGCAACCATAGCATGGATACATAGCTACAGATGCGTCTACAGCCTCGACGTTAATGTCATTCTGCATGTGGTCCAAGAGGCGCACACGGTATGGTTTCATGTATAATGTTTGTATAATGTTGCATATGTGTTCTACACTGTTAATGAGAGGACATTTTGTGATTCATTATTGCGCATTTTCTTTCTGTTCTGCTTGCACGAGACTGTTTATGGACAATGGTATGAGAGACTGATAAGTTCAAACCGTTATTGTGTAAACTTTGTGTTTCTTCAGTTTTCACGGTGTCTGAAGATAATAAGAGAGAGAGAGAGAGCCAAATAAACATCCGAAGACATCAGTATGATGCGTGGCCATCCTTTGTTGGACCCCTGTAGTTACAGTGAAAACGTACCGCCAACGTGCCTGGAAGTTCAACGTAAGAAGCAGTGAATGTTTCAGAAGAAGAAAAGAAGAAAGGTTCGTGACAGCGCAGTGTGTGTGGTTCGAGAACACAGCGGAAAGGAGGCTTGCAAACTCGGAAAGAGGAAACATCATTATTGGCGCTTTGGACGGCAACGACCACGACTTCACCAATAGAGGGCGACATTGACCATCATAAACTACAGCTCTGCAACCGTCTGCAACTCTGCCGTTGCACACAGCAAAAACTGTATAATCCTCCGTCTTCAAGGAAAAGATAACGGCTCTGCAGTCAACGTCAGGTTGGGCTGTGATATATCCACAGCTGTTAGTAAAGTTTGGAGAGGTCTATTAATATAATAATTTATTTTGTATGAGAAAGGTACTGAGCTAAAGGTAACCAGCCTGTCATAGCCAAACTGTTCCCCTTTAATTTACAAGTGGTGTTGTTTAAAGTGTTCTAATGATGTTTAAGAGTTCAACTTAAAAGAAGACTAACAAGGGGTGTTGTTAAGCAAATTGTTGCAAGAATCAGATTGTATTGAGAATTATATGTTTGCCAGGATCGCATATACATATAGCAACGACTTGTTATGCAGCAGGTTTGCTGAAACATATGCAATGTCAGTAAACACAGAAAAATAACATATTGAAGAATTCGGAGAACAAATCGATTCCCTTAAGGAAGAGCTAAGTAGATTGAATGAACAATTGAAATTACAGACTGATGATGTTGAAAGGGAGACATTGGAGTTACTCATAGGTGATATTCATGCTAAAATAGAAATAAAGCAGAAGCCTGCCACTAATACTTCAAGACTAGAGCCCAGGAAATCCTCAAGGGAGCGAAAGTTAACACCCAAAATGTTAGAACTTAAGCAACAAGAGTTTTCTCAGAAGGAGAGTAAATTTATCAAACTATATGAAACCTGGAAAGAACAAGTTAAAGCTACACGTTCCAAACTTAAAGAAGAGTGCTCTGACCAGGAATTAGCTGACATGATGGATACTGTCGAAGGGCTGGAGTCACAAGTGAAAAATACATATGAAGATATAAGATCGCAGGCAGCCCCTTCTACTGAGACTAGAAGAAAAATTGATTCCTGCACAGCAGTAACAGCGGACTTGATGAGAATACTTAAAGTACGTATGAGCGAAGTGGGGATAGAAGAGTTTGATGCTAAGGCAGAAAATGCAAGACTTCACATGGTGCTAGACAGAGAATATGCTCAGTCAATATTTGGGACTACAATCTCCCGACCTTCAGTACGTAGCCACCGCTCAAGCTGTTTATCGGAGCAGCAAAGCATCAATGTAAAAAAGGCAGAGTGTGCTGCACAGCTTGCTGCGAAGCAGGCCGAGATAGAAATGGAGGAGGCTATTGCTACACAAAGGCAAGAGCTTAAAAGACTAGAAAATCAGCGAGATCTTCAGGTAATAACTGCAAAGCTAAAAGCTTATTCTCAAGCAGATTCAAGTGAAGTCTGTGGAGAAGTCAAAAGTGCACACAGTGAGGTAGTCAGTTGTCCTCCGTTAGCTCCTGAAGAAATCGTACCAGAGCAAACCTACAAGAATAATAACAATGAACAACCAAACAATAACAATGAGTCATTGTTAATGCAAGCATTGCATGACACAATGGTCCTCACCAGACTTCCTGCACCTGAACCCCCAGTCTTCTCAGGGGACCCACTTAAGTTCTTAGAGTGGAGCACTAGTTTCAAAGCTTTGATAGAACGGCGATGCACAAATCCAGCCGACAGGTTGTTCTACCTACGCAAATACATCAGTGGAGAAGCACAGTCTGTATTGGAGGGAAGCTTTTACAGAAAAGATGACCAAGCATATGACCAAGCTTGGGAAGCTTTGAATGCTCGGTATGGTCACCCCTTTGTAATTCAGCGTGCATTTAGGGAAAAACTGAACAACTGGCCAAAGATTGGTTCAAGAGAGTCACTTAAACTGAGACAATTCAGTGATTTTCTGACAGCCTGCAGCAATGCTATGCCATACATCAAAGAACTGCAGGTGTTAAATGACTGTGAAGAGAATCAAAAATTGCTCCGAAAACTTCCTGACTGGGTGACTTCTCGTTGGAATCGTCATGTCACGGTGCAGTTACGGCAAACAGAAGAATATCCAAGCTTCAAACAATTTGCTGACTTTGTTACACAAGAAGCGGAAGTTGCATGCAATCCCATAACATCATTTAATGCCTTGAAACACACTGAAGCTAGAGACATAAAGCATCCAAAGGCTAATGCATACATCACAAGTGTGGAAGCATCAGACAGAACAACCACAGGATACAGCAAAGTGGAGAACAATTCAAATGAGGCTGATATAAAAAGAAAAGCACATGCTTTGCCATCAAACTCAGTCACATGTATTTGCTGTGGAGAAAGCCATTCTATTCAT